GATAAATTCCTCTCAAGTTGTGATGGAATTTATGGGTAAGCTGTATAGCCATTTTTTTGCTTTGTCTTTGAGAGCAAAAGGAATAAATCTGAATTTGACTGCATCTTCAGTTAATTCTCTCATTTCAATCATCATACATACTTCCTCAAACTCTGAAATAAAAATATATGCATCTTCAGTTTCATTCCCTAGAAATTTTGGAAGCATGTTGATAAAGTGCGATCGAAGCTCAAAGTTAGTTCCATTTGCCTCGAGGAGCCTAATGCAAGAGGGGATTGCATTCCTAATGGGATAGCACATATCTTGAAGAACAGGTGGATTAGGATACGCCATTTCTATAATTAGTTCAAAGCGAATTAATCGATGTGTATTATCCCTAATCTACGTTTGCATACACCCAAAACAATTTTTTTAAGGAGAAAAAAATTAGCTTTTTTATGAGAAGAAAAAGGAAAATCCTAACTAAAACAAATCAAAAGCAATCACTTTTTAATCACTCTAACTCTAGGGTTTAGCCTAACTCAACTAGACTAGCTCATAACCAAAAACTTCTAAAGTGAAAAGATAAAAGTTTTACCCGGGTAGTCAGCCAGGTAAGAATAGTACTAGAGAGTGATCAGAGATCAATTAAGTATCTTGTTCCTTACGAAGCGCTTTACGCAACCCCTAAACCTTGTCTTAGACACTAACTAATCCAAGAAAACTTAAACCGGTTCACTTAAGGATTCTTTGTTCCTTATTGAGCTCGAATCCTTAGGGCCAACGTCTAATGAGTTTTATTAGGCTTGGGTAGTGTAGTGAGTAATTAGTGATTTTTGGGCTAAGGAAAGACCTCACCTTATCTTGATTTATGGGATTTTACCCTTAAAAATATTTTAAGTGTGTGCCAAATCAAGATGCTCAAATCACTTTAGTGAATTCCTACTAACTATATGCAATGCAACCCTATGAATTAAAAGCGACTAAAAAGGATGGAAAAAAATCTTTATATTTTTTATTAGGGTTAACAATCAAACAACTATGAGAAGGGTGAACATTGTTTGAGTTTATTATCTTGTTAGTTAATGTCCAAGTGAAAGGTGAATTTTATTATGATCAACAAAAAAAAATAAAATCCTTTTTTTTTAATCCTAATTGTCTCTAATTGTGAAGCTAACTAAAAAGGGTGGAATTAAAAATGCTAGAAAGAAGAGTTACCTAAAAGCAATTCTCCAAGTTCTAGATCTCTAATCCGCGATCTTCAAGCTCCAAGCGGTTCCTTCACAAAAAACACACAAGTTAAAGAACCAAATTAAATAAAATCCTACTTAAGCACCCTCCCCGACAACGACGCCAAAAACTTGATGCGGTATAAACATATACCAAAAATGTTGCAAGTGCACAATCGTGTCAAGTTATAATATAAAAAGTTATTGATCCCACGAGAAAGGTGTTTTGTAGGAGAAAATATAAATCGATTCTTATGTTGTGTGCGTGACAAATAGGACTGAAGAATAAGTGTGATTGTGGAGAGATGGAGAGAATGAAAGTGATAGTGTGTAAATCGGCACGAAATGTAAGTGAAAGTGGATGTGACAAAGAATGAATGATTTTCATAAGGAAAGATGAATAAAATCAAAAATCAAAAAAGAGAATTAAGAATAAAAAGAAAATACAAGAAATTAAAGATGGTGGATTCAATTAAAGATATGAGTAATTTAAAATTGAACCCACTTCTTTGAAAAGAGTGATTCCCTAGAGGGTTCTAGCCTAAAGGCGAATCAAAGAAAATAAAAATAAACAAAAAGAAAAACTAAACCCAAGAGGGTTCTAGCCTCAAGGTGAATAGTGTAAGAAATTAAAATCTAACTACAAAATAAATTGCAAAATCTAAACTATAAAATAAATTACAAGAATTAAATACAAGAAAATAAATCTACTCTATAAGCATGAAATAAATCTAATCTATAAGCATGAAATAAATCTAAGGCAAGAGGGTTCTAGCCTCTTGGCTATTTAACAAGAAAATAAAATCTAACTACAAGCATAGAAATAAATCTAAACTAATGAGCAATAAAAAAGAAATAAAAGAGAAAAATAAAAGAAATGCAAACCTCCAAATAATTCTTCATCTCCATCTTTATCATCCAACAAAGAGAAGAAATATTTAAAGTGATGAAAAAAATTATTTTATTAATTATAATAAAAGTTATAAATTTGGAAGGCCTTCTCAATTAAGAGTGGCTCTCCTCTCTAAATGGAGTTACAAAAATTTTCACACCTCTAACCCCTCACTCTCTACCCCTATTTATAGTAAACATCAATAAATGAGAGCCCTTGGATTGAATTCTTATCCAAAACCATCAAAAATCAGCCATTGATCTGTAACTGATTCGTAGTCATCGATATCAGCATCGATGCCGACATCAATGCCGGTATCGATGCCGGCATCGATGTCCAATCAAAAATCTACCTCCACAAATGGCTTCGTCTCGTCAAGATAGTGGATTTTTATATATTATATGTTAAATTCTGCATTCCGGATTGAGAGATATCGTCGTTTCTTTGGGACCAACCATCTTGAATATATTTTGTTTTCATATTTGATTTTTTATTTTCTCCGGCTTCTACAAGCTACTCGGGTTAATTCTAGGCTTGTGATTTTTGACTCTTGCTTGTGTTCTTCATTTAATTCATGAGCTTTTGTTGAGAGATGGGATTTTTGGGCTTTATTCTTCATTAACCTGCAATTAAAGATATAAACAATTATTAGTGATATATTTATTCATTAAAAATAGATAATGAGGGTATAAAATTATAATAAAATATGACTATCACTAAGAAACTGAAATTTAAAAAAATATAAAAATCTAAAAATATTTCATACTTTATTTTCTCAAAAATATCAAAAATAAATTTTTAAAAAAGATATACAAACTTAAATTATTTAAATGATATATATTAAAAATTAACTATCAAATTACTTACAAATTTTATAAAATTGAAATATTAAAATTATTTTTTTTTAAATATAAAAATCTAAAAATATTTCATACTTTATTTTCTCAAAAATATCAAAAATAAATTTTTAAAAATATATATAAACTAAAAATATTTAAATGATATATATTAAAAATTAAATATCAAATTACTTACAAATTTTATAAAATTGAAATATTAAAATTATTTTTAAATTATCAAAATTAACCTTTAAATAAGATATATAAAAAAAATTCTTGAGAATTAATTACCAATTATATACTAAAATTGTTGTAATTTTATTATGAAAGAATTGATATTTTGTCAAAATCAAAACTTTTTAATGTCAAAACCGAAAATATTTTTACGAAACAAAACCTTTAAGAATATATTTTTATTAATTAGAAAATATTACAACAATTTTAAAAAAAATCAAATTAGATATGAAAACTGAAAATAAATTGTTGTAGTTTTATTAAGAAAAAATAATGTAAAAACCAAAAATATTCTCAAGCATGATTTAAAATCAAAAGTAATTAAAAAATATTATGAAAATAATTGTTGTAATTTTTAAGCATGATAAAAAACCAAAAATAATTAGAAAAATTTTGTTAGTATGATTTTAAATCAAAAATATATTTAAGCGTGATTCAAAATCAAAAATATTTTTTACTAAAAATGAAAATATTTTTAAAAGACTGGATATTTAAGAAATTATTTTTATTAATTAGAAAATATTACATTAATTTTAATTAAAAATTCAAATTAGATCAAAAGTTAAAATATAATAGTTTATATGAAAACCAAAAATTATCAAATAACCTATGATCTTAAAAATTAACTACCAACTAAATATAAAAAACACATGATTCAAAAACAAATCCAAATTTTTTTCATAATAATTAAAAAATGTATTAAATTTTAAAAATATATGATTATACAAAAAAATTTAAATCAAAAAAGATTTTCAAAATAAATTAATTACCTCGTTTGATCTCTTCATTGGATGCTCCCTCTACGAAGACGAAGACCACTTACCGATAATCTTATAAAAGTTCTAAAATTTCCAAAAATATAACAACAATTTATATACGATGAATTATTAAAATCCAAACAAATTTTAAAATAAATATATATTACCTTAAAATTTTAATCAAAATAAGAAAATTATAATAGCAAATTAATTAAAAATATGTGACTATACAAAAAAAATTCAAAATCCGAAAATATTTCAAAATAAATAAGTTAATTACCTCATTTGATTTATTCATTGGAGGCTCTGTCTACGGAGATGACGACCGCATTTCTATTACCTTAAAAAATTTTAAAAATTCCAAAAATATAACAACAATTTGCATACAAAAAATTTCAAAATTCAAAAATATTTCAAAATAAAATTAATTACCTCGTTTGATCTATACATTGAAGGATCCCTCTACAAAGGTAAAGACCGCATACCTATAACCTTAAAAAATTAATCAAAATCTAAAAATATAACAACAAATTATATACAAAAAAAATTTTAAGATCCAAAAATATTACAAACCAAAATTTGCAGATCTCTCGTGGATGTTCAAAAAACCAAATTGAAGGTAATGGAGAGATCGCTAACGTCGGTAGAAAATATATGATTATCGTGATTATATAGGAATTTCTAAAATCACGCTATTAATATTTGGTAGTATTTTGTTTCAATTTTTAAAAATCTCGCTCACAATTACTACAATTATTTGAAATATATTATTAAATTTTAATTCAGTTTTGGTTTTTAAAAGATTTGGTTTTCTCTTTTAGCTTGAGGTCTTTTGATTTTGCTTAAATGTATACCCTAGTAAAAGATTGGAGTTTATTTTTTTTCTCGCCCATATATATTTAAATACAAATCCATTTAATGAAGATCTTTTGACCATTTGCTTTCTTAACTAGTCCAAAACATAGTATGTTTTTTAAATATCAAAAAAGAAAATTAAAGGAAAAAATCCTCCTTCACTTTGCATCTGCCATCGTGATTGCAAACAGTTGGTCTCAATTTAGAATAGACATTGTTCTTTCACTTGCATACTTGTTCCTTCATTTACATGCTCAAATACAGTAAATTAACATTGTTCTTTCTTATTGTTACAAATTTTCAGGAATAAACTAATATTGACCACACAAATAATATAGAAAAATATCGAGATTGCAAAACACATAAATATACATGGTTCAGCTGGTAGCCTACGCTCACAGGAAACTTCACTAAATTCTTAGGAATTACAATGTAAAGATCTCTCAATCACTCAATCCCAAATCACATCCCTTAAAATACTTAAGCCTCTCTTATAATCTCTAAAATCTATAGAACCAACCAAATAGAGAGCAAATCAAGAACTTCTTGAATCTATTGTTTCAGCTTGCAAAGTCTGTTTAAATGCTTGTTGTTGTTGTCGAGTGGAGCAATTGCATGCAGCCTTAATAAAGAACCATCATTTCTTTCCCTTGATGTCGCGACCCTCGATTGGGTGAATTCTTGAGCTTCTGCAGTATATAGAGAGTAAGATTAAGAGTTGTTGCTAGCCATAAATTTTACAAAAATAAGAATATTAGTCTTAATAAATAAACAAATCTTTTACCATTATCATAATACTAGGCATAGCTAATAGAAACTCTATTTGGATTGCATATCCTGTTCAACTATTAGGATTTGAATCATCCATAATATTTCTACTACATACTCAAAAAAATAATGTTATTACCACAAATGATTCAAAATAACAGAAATAAATAAAAACAATTATTGATTCAGATTAACAATTCCACATAAGAGATTAGGTTCATAATTCAACATAACATAATTTACCAATTCAGGTTAATAATTCAACCTAAGACATTACATCAAAAGCTTATAGGCGGTCATCCCAATTTATACCTTATTTAGAGATTATACGTTGGAAATTTGGAAAACCAATTTGAAAGAAAATCTTAAATTGCAAAAGGTGTTAATGTAATTTTATATCTCGCGATTTATACTTAAGCTATCAAAGTTAAAAATGGATAAATTTCCAAATCATCAAAGTTATAAAAAAAAGATTAAAGTTTTAAAATATCAAAGCTCAAACATTTTTCTTTCACGCCAGGTAACTTTTTTTAAATAAATTGTGAGGCATAAAACTCCAGTGCTTTAATAAATAGAAATTAACAAAACAATCTCCAGAATGGAGGGATACAAATACATATATGAGAACTCATATAAAATCTGACCCCTCAAACGAAAAGAAAAATCTCTAAAATCACATTGATAGAATAGATAAGCAAAACATTCGCGACCACGTGACTATATAGTTTGACATTTCTTGTTTTGTTTCTCCTCAAGATATAGGATATGCCATACGTAGAGGTGGCCGTAGACCTGGTCAGTTCAGGCCCGTGATTTGGCTCAATGGGTTTAAGGCTGGGCCGAGTCTAATCCAGGCCAGGACGGTTCAAAATATGCCGAGCTTACTTTTCTAATCGCGGATCTAGGATTGGAACCAACTCGGTCCACAACCTTCCTAGGAGCAAGTCGGGCCGGACACGGCCCACGGTGCATGGGTCGTGAGTCAACCCATGGGTTTTTCTTTTTTTTCATTTTTTTCAATTTCTAAACTATGTTAACTTTGTATTCATACATATAAAATTATATTAATTTTATTTTTCTCCTATTTG